GACAACAAGGGACGCGGGCTCAGCTCGATATTAACCTCGTTTTATGTTGACACTTAACGAGGTTGTGAAAGCGTTACCGAAGCAGTGGAGCTGGCTAAGAACGTAGACGCCATCTTATCTGCGGACAGTTCACTCTAAAAATGGAACTCGAACGATAGTCAGGTAATGATACGTTTATCTAATGAGCCGTCACTTTCTAATTATGTCTTCCATGCTGGTGAGGCTTCCGTTTTGGGCAAGATGGGACGCACTGGAGGATCAGTTATTCTTTCGCGTCGATTGTATAAAGTAGAAATTCAACGAGCGCCGTGTACTCAGCGAGGTGGCACGACTCTTCGATCCTACTGGATTCTTATCGCCTGTTATCGTAACAGGAAAATATTCATTCAGCGACTATGTCGCGGGTCTATCCTGGAACTCACCATTACCTGATGATCTTTGCCGCGAATGGCTGAAGTATCGGTCACAGCCGCAGCTCAATCAAATTCGTATCGAACGGTGGATGAATAATTCCACGCGTTCAGAACATCATTTCATGGGTTTTCGATGCCAACTTACATGCTTATGCAGCAGTTATTTACGCGAAGACGTCGAACAAACGGTTCGATGCGTTTCACACTTCTAACGGCACGTACAAGGTGGCACCACTTAAAATCGCTCATTCCACGCCTGGAACTTGCGGTAGCGCTGCTTCTTGCCGAGTTTCCACGTGATTCTTTGGGATTAGTTGACTTCCCTACTATCTGTGGTCGGACTCAGCAATCGTATTGTGTTGGCTCAGGAAGGATCCGGGAACACTTAAACCATTTATATCAAATCGGGTTCGTAGAATACAGGGCTGACATCCCCGCCCGATGGCATCACATTCGTTCGGCTCATAACCCAGCTGATTGTGCCGGTAAGATTATCACACCGCCGAGCTATGTACATCCCCTTTGGTGGCATGGACCTAAGGAGGCAGAGATGATGTATGGGGACAGTAGTGATGTTCCTCTCAGCAAGGATGAGTCAAATGTCTTACTCGCCGAAACCGAAATACAACCAAATTTATTGTACTCATTTCACATCCGTTGTATACTTGTCGTCCAAACGGACCGCTATTTTGTTAACTGAACGGTTCAGTAGTATCACTCAGTGTGATGCATTGGCTATTATCCTGCGCTGGTTAAGAAGGCGTCGACACTTTCGTCAACCGGTGATCGTTGCTCAGGAGTTGGACGACGCATTATACACTATAATCCGTTTAGAGCAAGAGGAACATTTTGCGAAATTCGACAATTGACGTCTAGTTCGTTTGTCATCTTCCAGTCGGATAATACCTTTAAACCCATTTCTAGACAGGAACCAAAACCTCCGTGTGGGGACGCATCCACCAGGCCGAACTAGGGCATGATCAGCGATTCCCGATTATTTTGCCAAAGTCACGCCGTTGGTCAAGCTTTTACTAAATCAGGCGCATGAGATTACACTGCATGGAGGCACGCAACTCATGCTGAACACTCTTCGTCAACGCTTCTGGATTCTGAGTGCCAGGCAGTCAAGAGTTTCATCCATAACTGCGCGGTATGCCGCCGTCATAGAGGAAGTCCTGAAGCAACATGGCTTCCTTCGGGCAGAGGATCAGAGCAGCAAGGCCGTTCATATCATCTGGTTCGTTGTGGACCTTTACGCTACGCATCGAACGAAACGCTCGAACGAACATCAAGACGACCTCGCAATATTCGTATGCATGGTTACCAAGGCCGTGCACTGATGGTTGATGACCTATCGGCACAGGCCTTTTAGATACTTTTACTCGTTTCGTCAGCCGACGCGGTCCCTGCCGGGATTTATATAGTGACAATGGTACAGCCTTTGTTGGTGCCAACCGACTTTTGAAGGAGGATCTTGCAGCATGGCAGGGTGAGAATAATTAGCGATCGTTAGCAGATTCGGACACGTTGGCATTCATCACACACAGTGCGCCACATCATGGAGGCCTCTGGGAGGCTGCTTGAAGTCCGCTAAGCATCATTTGACACGATGTGTGGGTACGCAGGTCATGTGGTATAGTCAACTGCAGACACTAGCCGTAAGAATAGAGGCCTGTCAATTCCGCCCTATTACCCCCTTTACGACGATCCTGAAGAGAAACTTGCATTAACGCCAGGTGATTTCCTGATTGGGTCGCCACTCTAGCGGTCCCTGAACCGAGATATCAAACATATTCCTAGAACCGGCTGAAACAATGGCAATGGATACGTCAAATTCACAAGGATTTTGGATGGAGTGAGTATCTAACCATTCTGCAGAGACGCACAAATGGTTTCGCCGCACGAGGAATATAGGGTGGACGATATCGTTCTAGTCAAACAAGAGAACCTGCCTCCACTCACTGGTGCCTGGGTCGAGTGACACACTACATCCCGGAGCGGATGGAGTGGTCCCAATTCACGTTTAGAACGCTAGAGGATACATAGGAGCCATCCAGAAACTATGTCTATTGATAGAGAAGGAAGTTTCGAGTCGGACTCGACCGGGCAAGTGTTTGGATTATTTATTAGTTTAAGATTATTTCTGATAATGTCACTCTAATCTGGCAATACTGTCTTATCTAAGCTTTATATTCGTCATCTCTCTTTTATCTCATTTGTCTTTATAATTGTCTTTGTTTACGCATACTTAAAGTTACGTATTTTAAATTCCGTTGAACTCCTATAAATGTCAGAGACTTGTGTGTACGACTCTCTTCTCTGATTATAACTTGGTGCTGATTGTATTCGTCTCTGGTTTGGTGTCAAGCCAACGTCACAATCGTTAAAATCCCAATAAAGCATTGAGAACTCTACCCGCTGGTAATTTAATTTTAACACTTTGTTTACATCCATCAGCTGATTCTTTCTCTACTACCTGTTTACGATACTGTGAACCTTCTCTATAATCTACATTCTCTACATATACTTATGTAAATACATATAAGTACATATCCTTCTCACATTCAAATAGATAAATAAAAATAAGTGTGAAGTTAAAGTATCGAATTATTGCAAAATATGTTCCCGATTCCTCATGGTAGAAAATAAAGGCGCACGCAGACGTAAGGTATTAAAGTGCTGTCATTAATTTTCTTAAATTATATTGTAAATAGTTTAAATCGCTACCCAATCGGATCTTTAAGATCATTCTCACAAGAGGATTAAAATAATACACAAATGTTTAAATTAATTAGTTCATAC